AATTTTCAAGGACTATATTGATTGATGTTTCCTTTGAAGACAGAATTTCAGAACTTAATCTTAAAGAAAAAAAACTTTCTTCTTTAAGATAATAAAGCAAATATCTGAAAAAAATTTATCTGAAAATCAAAACAAAAGTTAACTTACCATATAAACTATATCTATCTTAAAACTTATACCCAACATTATTAATAAAAAAATGCAAGTCTCAGGCAGTAGTCTAAATGTCATAAAACTGTCAAGATTTTATTGTTGTAACATTTTATGAAAAATATAAATAAAAAAAATTTCCAATGCTTATTTTTCAAAGATTAACTTGAAAAAAGTGCTCTATTTATATACATATATATAAATATAACAAAATTCAAAACAATTATGTAAATTTCAAAACCATCAACATTATTTGCAAAAATCTAATGGATAACTTTATTACATAAACATACAAAAATTACAAATTCATATACAAAGAAACATGGTTGATTAAAATAAGATAAGTGGACAACGGAGTTTAAATTGAATTTCACCAATAAAATTCTTATGACTACCTTATTAAATGATGTCCAAAATGCTATTCTTGATATTTTATAATATTTTGATAATTCAGAATGTTACTTCCTGTCTTATTCAAATAACGGCTAACTTTTTCATGCTTTCCTTTTCATAGAATTACTAAAAAATTTTAAAATGAAAAAAATACATATATATAAATTGTAAAAGCATTTCAATAACTACCTGATGGGTGCTAGCACGAAGTCATAAAAAAATTTAGACATCTGCTATTTTTTTTAGAATTCTTGTTAACTTTTTTCCCTTTAAAACACTGAACTAAATGGACATTTACAATGAGTTTAAATATAAAGTGAAAATATCAATAAATTTTCATGCATAAGACAGACAGAAAAATACCATATTATAATAATTCATTCAATAATAACATTTATGGGACAATATATTAATGTACAATATATACAATAAAAGAGTTAAATAATAAAATTGCATCAGATGGACTGGAAAATACTGTGTTATAATATACTATAAATGATTCAATAACAAAGAAAATAACGTGTCATGGAAAATACATGACACATGATCACTTGTTAACAGAGAGCTTAATATTTCATAGCACTTTGATTCTTGTGATTTTAAATTTATTAAAATGATGCCAAAAATTCTATACTTTACGATTCTATATCTTTTTGCACATTATTAAATAAAATAATAAATATTGACTAAAAAATTTTTTGGTATGAAATTATTTTTATATAAATGATTTTTTTAATTGAATAACAGAATATTTATATAAAACAAAATAAAATTCAAAATAATTGAGCATACTTTACAAAACCGAACTACATTGTCTGTTAAAATCTACAATGTTATTTTATTACATGAATATGCAAAAATCACGTATGTACATAACAAGATATATGATTGATTCAAATAAAATAAATGGACAATGGAGCTTTAATTAAATTTCGTCAATAACATTATGATTACTTGTTAACAGATACCTTAGCTGAGCTAAATATTTCATAACACTTTGATTCTTCAAAAGGCGGTAAAATTGTAAGATTTGTGATATTGTTGAAACACAACTTTATAAAAATTAGTATCAATACACTTCTCAAAATTTATTTTTTAAAGACTAGCTTGGAGAGAAAAATGCTCTATCTTCTTTATTTATATAAAATAAAATTCAAAATAATTGAGCATACATTACAAAACCGAACTACATTGTCTGCTAAAATCTAACTTGAATACATGAATATGCAAAAATCACTTATGTATCTTCTACAGTGAAAGGAAATTTTTAATAATTTTCGATGTCGATGAGAGCCGATTTTGTGTAATTTAAGACCATTATATTTTAAAATTAATATTCTGCTATATTTATTGGAATGAAGTATGTTAGGCCCTTTTCAGTTATAGACAAAGTTGCATATTTTTTCACAATGTCAACATGTCTAAAGGCAACTGTCTTACTTTTCTGTTGAGCATCTGCATTTGAGACAGTAAATATATTTGAACAGAGAGATCCAACCTGAGGATAAGACATTAAAAATTTAGTTACCGGAATGTTCTCCCCTAAGAAGTATACTTCATCAATTAAAACAAGGATATGATGAATTTCAACACGATTTTTGTTCGACAATGCTACAACATCGTCCGCATGAATAAATTTTGAGCAATACTCCTTACAACTGAAAATGTGTCCTGAATAACTATTTCTTTTGTAAAACTGTGCATTGGATGATATAACTTTATTTCCTAATAACTTTTTTCCTAATATTGGCTTGTTTGGTTTCAGTTATAATATAACTATATAATATTATGATATAACTTTATTTCCTAATAACTTTTACAATTTCTATAATATACAAACGTATGAATAGATTTGAAATAAAATATTTAACAATTTCTTGAATATATTTTTTATAAATATTAATAAAAATACGTAGTCAACATTTTTAAGCATCTCTCACATCATTGCAAATTTCTCAACATCTTATATATCGTCTTAATCTTAAAAGTAATTTTNTCAATAGGCCAAACATCGTACCTACTTTTTTTATAAATAGGAACTCCATCGACATTAAATTGAATGGATATATTATTTATATCCTGTAAAGCATCAATGGAACGATACATACTACCATCGACAACATCTCGGTAAGTATCACAGTTATCTTGAAATTTTGATTTAAAATCTGAAATTTATTATTGATTATTATTGAGGAGATTTATTTATTTATTTATTATTTATTATTGAGGAGATCTTCATTTTCAAGTTTCAATTGAAGTTGATGTGAAAGAGGCATGTATAGAAAAAAATTGCCATTTTTAATCAATTCATCACTATTAAATGATTCTGAACATGTTAAACACTCAGTAGAATTATGTTGACTTAGTTTACTTATGTAGCTATCACAATGAGGACAATAAAGATGCAGCTCACATGCATTACTAATTGCCGATGTACCTTTATAGAAGATATATTTCGTCTCTGGTAGATTACAAGGTGGCAATAGAGTTTTTAATAACTTGAGCAATCCATCGACACAAGATTTTGAAAGGTTGAATTTGATGGAGTAAGCTAAAATGCTCACAAATGCTTCTAAATTTGTCACATCTGCTGATTCATAAATCGGTTTATAACAATTTTTAATAAGATTTTCAAAATCATCTTTTGGTGGAAAAATATCTTCAGATGATGTTTCTTCTTCAGTATCTGATTTGTCAGATAAAGTGCTATTATTTAAACTAGATTCACTACTTATTGCTTCAGTCTCAATCTCACATATTTCTGATTCTTGACTTGTTTCAACATTACTTGTGCTTGGCACGTTGAAATTTTTATCCTGAATATCATTTACACCGAACAGCATATTCGATCTGTATCGACTGAATGTTCTGATTGGTAAGGATTCATTTTTCCATAAATACTGCTTATATTTTTTTGACATTATTAATACCAAATAATTTGTGAAACCTCCTTTCACTGAAGTGATATATTTGTTTTTCAAAAAGCGACAGTTATCATTCATGAAAAATGTAAACAATTCTATAAAAACCCTGAGTTACGGTTGCAGTTGCTCAATTTCCTCGCGATACAAGAAATGAATTGTAAAAAAAAAGGAGAGAAACTGATAATTGGGTATACAAATCACAGCAATCAGGTTCTTAATATCTCTTTGAGTGAAAATTGTTTTTTTATACTTGTTTTTAAAAACTGAACTTCAAGAGGCTAATAAAATAGAAAAACATTTCTTAAAGGGGATATTTTCTTATCGAGAACTGTCATACTAACTGCAAGTTGCGGAATAAATTTTGCACTACAAATAATTTTAAAAAAATAAGTAAACGTAGAAGTTTGATATATATATTTTTTTTTGTTAAATATTTTCTCTGCTACTCCTGTTACGTCTCCAGGATTTTTTTTTAAAGCATGTAGATGTGTGCCACAAAGTGGCCACAAGATACATCCTTTGAGGTGGTCCCCTTCTGTAGTGTTTTTTTTTAGTTTGTTGCAGGCTGCTGCCCTGAAGTTGCAAAGACAAGGTTATTGTTCCACATTAGAACACGATACGGAAATCTCCCTCATCTCTTCTGTACCTTATATTCATTATTTTGAGTAATATGAGCAGAAATAAAATAAAAGATGTTTATTAATTTAATTTTATGCTTGATAAATTTCAGAGAATGAAAAAGCAATGGAGCTACTAATTGATGATCTGGTTGGTGGGCGTATGGCATTGGAGGATATTCCTATCCTTCAAAGTATTAAATCTCCCTCTGAATCTCAAGCTGAATCAACCTGTCTTACGTCGAATGAACAGGAAGCTGATGCTCCCCTGAATGAAGTGCCACAACCTAAGAAGTAACTATATTTTTTATGTATTTATTTCTGTATACATTATTGCCACTGTTCCCTCGTACATAATCATGGCGACATTGTCGCAGAATATTACTAAGTTCTTGCAGAAAGAATTTCCTTTTAAGAAGTAAAGAATTTTGGTTTTTCAGAAGTAGTCAGCATTTTGCTTTTCACCTTGCAATTTACGATAGACAATGTTGTTGCATCTTTCCATCAGGTTAGCCACCCATCTATCTATAGCGTTCACTATTCAAGAAGGTTTTTTTTTGTACTTAAACAACATTTTTG